ATAAGAAAGATAGCTAAGGTCAAGTCATCTCACTAAGCTTTTGAGAATACTTCAATCTAAAGCTTAGAGCGGTTGCGCGCGCATAGTTAAAGAAGTAGTAGAAGAACAGTCAGCAATTGTGGGCACTGTGTCAAGAATTTCTCAGAAGCAAGAGACAGTTTTGCTGATCAAGTAATTGCGGAAGTAGGAGCGGAAGGTGGGAAAGCGGGAGGGAGGGGGGATGTAAGCTCCATGCGCAATTTGGCAAAGGAACTCTTCAATTTGCTAAGGCATTGGGTCAAAGACTATCCCTTTAATTCATTTCAGCTGCACTTACGTTTTGCCATTTCAACACTAGGTAACGTCAGCATCTCCCAAAAAGCATGCGCTAACAAAATTAGACTTTACGCCGTTCCTTGCAAGAGCATGTTGTCTCACGATAAGCGAAATCATTACAATGCTTAGACTTGTATCATGCCCTGAGCATTGAGCAGGTAAGATTCAGACTCCACTTAATGGAGTTGCCAGCAGTCATTTGTGGAACATAACATATCACTTCTAGCTGAAAGATGACCACAAAACTTAGACGCATATCCCACTTACCCGACCAAAGTACCGCGAAGCTGCACCTTGGTCTGATTCCTATGTTAGCGACCGACCGCCCAGAGATGCTGCCAGTTTACCTGTCTGATAAGTCGTTGTACTGATTGGACATGATTTACAGATTCGGCCATCGTACTCGTCCATGTACAAACCGTAGTCGCATGGTGCACAGATGCCGCTGCTAATGTTCAGAAAGGTCCCAGGATAACAGACACCTGCGACAGCAAAATTAGTTTGGGGACAATACCCCATGGACACTAACTCATTCTGCATTCGTCCATGTGCCTGGCCCCCTTATTCAGCGTCGTCCATCCTGTCGGACACAGCAAACAGACTGCGTCCTCGGCAGACTTAAATGAGCCTAGCGGGCACGGTTCACAGCGGCTTCCGTCCACTGAGCGTTGCCAGCCAGGAGAGCAATTTTCTTAATAAGAAAAAGAGAGAATGAGATGAAAAAAAGAATAACTGAGTACCCAAACAGTGCTCAATTTTAGTTGAGTTCAGGTACAGTGGCACCGTCGTAGGAGGACAGGGTATGCATCTGCAAAATTCCTTTACATTTTCCAGTTTTAGTTTATACAAAATTGTAACCCATATCAAAAAATCTAAGCAAATACTGACAAAACGAAAAATCTTAAAGTGGGTCTCCTAAAAACCAAGAAGTAGGCAAGACGCGCAGCTTTTTCAGTCACGCATATCTGCTAGATACGTGCCTTCGATGGAAATGCATATATTTTCTTTAGTCATCATTCTCGAATGGGGTAAATATCTGCTGGGTTGTAGACTGCTGTATAAGCTGATAAAATCGTCTGTTAAATGACTCTGATACTCAAATTACAATACCTGTCAGATCCGCTTGTCGGTTGATAGCCTCTCAATCCACAAGGTTCACATATCTTGGAAGCGTTGTCAAAAAAGAACCCAGGAGGACAAGCAGCTAAAACGCAAAATTGATGGTAGAATCTTAGCCAAGTTTTTGTTTGAACAAGTGGCAAAAATGCTTACGAATGCATTCACTCTCCTTAGCGGCACCCGACATTGCCGTAGTCAGTTCGTTCGGGCACTTCGCACAGGTAGTACTACCGGATTCACTTTGATAGTAACCTCGTGCACAAAATTCGCACTCTTCGGTTCTTGTGTTGAAGAACTGTCCTGCTGAGCATGGGCCTGAAGAGACTTCCTGCTTCTTCCGTTCTTATCTTATAGCTTACAAGGAAAAGATACTTGGTGACCCTGGCCTTTTGCAGTAAGATGTATCAGTGGATGTGCCCTGAAAAGGTGATTCCAAACCTATGTAATGTCTGCTGTAAGACTCTCTGAACAAAGTTATGAATTTTTTTTCGTATTAATTTTACGGGATCTAGTTAGTCAGAATCTTCGGTGTCCAGCCCTTTTAAACTCGGATATATCAAGGGCCTTTTTCTAAGCTTAATGTAAAGCATATTTTTATTGACACGCTATTTTGTAGTGCATAAGTGAGTATTCCAACGATATTGTTGAACCCTGTCATCAAGACAGTGCAAATTGTGGAGGCAAGAAATGTTCATAGTCTCCTTCGGAAGAGGGCACAGCAGATAACGTAGACAGATTTGGAATCAGCGCTTCGAGGTGTATATAATGGTGTGCGTTTTTTTTTCCAAAAGTCGCGGTCAAAAAGTATCTTTCCCTTGTTAGCTATGACAGTGAGCAACAGTTTGTGAAATTCATTAAGCACGGGATACTGTGCTCCACTTGAGAATTCAAGAGTTTGGCGTTTTTTTAACGAGATCCAGCGCTGAACCTTTATGCATGAGAGCTATCCTTTGATTCAACCAGATAGGCAGCTGGGAGGCGGAGTTTCGTGACCTAGTTAA